TTGTGAAAAATGTTATTCTTTTATCCATGTAGTATTCCAAAGAACAAAAATACTAACCAAAGGCGGATTTAGAAGATAAACTGTGTTCCGTTAGACCGAAATGAATAAGATCCGACTGAATTTTTAAACTTTGACCAATCGGTTCATAGAAATCGTACAATGGACCGATAAGCCAACGTGCAGGTTTATTAGGGGTATACTGAGATATAAGAAAACCTGAAAACATTAGCCTTCTCATTAGCAGTTACAAAAATGCGGTCTATTTTCAAAAACAAGGCCGCTCAACACGACACATTTTTTTAAGAACAACAATGTGCATAACCAATAATGGATGACATTTTGAACAGCTTCTGTAACATTAAACATGTCCAAGCTCTCTATAAGAAACATTGATTTGTCATTTTTATGTATAGAGAGTTTGAAAACAATTTGCATTTTATTACACCCTTTTTGACCCATGTTAGATAGCATTTATTGCTTAACGTAGAATACTGTAGAATTAGCACAAAAAAAGTACAACTTCACAGACTATTTTTTAAATGGTGTGCGGAAATGCACAAAATAATCAATTTTCTTCCATATTTTTTTCTGTTTTTGTCTGTTTTTAAGTTTGTTTGACGGTTAGTATCAAAACAAGTTTTTCAATAATCGCTATGACAACATGTCGTCGTTCAAATGACACCAAATCTATCATTCTGTGACACTTACGTACTCAGTTATTACAATTTTCATACATGCACTACCGTAATCGTAACGTAAAAATTAAATGGCTGCCATTTCAAGGGGGATGAGGTAGGACATTGTAGGGAGGTGGATTTGTCGATAAAAATAGCTGAAAAATATCCCCCCAAATATCGGTATATCGTGACCAAACACATTGTATATATATATATATATATATATATATATATATATATATATATATATATATATTAAGAATGCAGTGGCGTACATTTTTTGTCAATATTATTCGTGAGCCTGCCCCCCGAGAGGCCTCTGGTATTCATGATTATCTTCTAGTTAGTACTAACTTAGCGTCTTACTGCACTTGACTAGTCTGCTAAAATTCGACAACGTCTTCACAGGAGTCTTTGAGACTATAGAAAAACTAAAAATGTTTTCAAATTTTGACATCCTGTATCTTGAAAACAAGTACCTACATATGATTATATGAACTTTTCTACTTAAATTTGATTCAGGAATGCACCCTTGTAGTTACGACCAGTCATTATCTAGCACACTGTACTCGTATAATCCCAACAAAAAACGGTTTAGATTATTTAATTTATGTACTACGTTTGCTTTCAATATTGGAAACTTTTAAGTTCACTAGAAAGATTCCGTACACAATGAATCCTAAATCAGAAATCTCAGCTACGCTATATGAATCGGAAAGGTGTATGCGAAACCACGTACTTATCAGTCGAATGTTTTATTCAGCGGAGTCTGCTGGTAGCGAGCTTTTGATTTGCTGCAAGAGATTCTTTTGTATCCTTAATTTATGTATAGTCTTCCACGCGTACGCAAATTTCGTTCTACTTGTTTCGGAAATAATAATCTCGGAGTCTGTACAAAGTGCAGACTAGGCATTAAGGCAGAGTAGTAGATGAGATGATTAGGTTCATTTCAATCCAAGTGAATTGATACTTCAGGTTGATGTGTTGAATGATATATACCGTTGGTAGAAATCAATTAGCGTTGATATAGCCAAATAGCCTGAGTTGTTCTCTTAGTTGCTCTGCCAAAAATGGAGTATGGTCACAGAATAAGTAAACCAGAAGCTACATTCAGGCAATTTTCCACTGCAATTTTGAGTCGCCGCCAGATAAGCGATCGTCTACGGAAGGTCAAGTGCATCACTGTTTACTTATCCAACAAGGAATTTCTAATATTACATACATTTATGTATAGCAGACTACATCAGAGCTGCTTGTAACAAGGCTAGATCATACCATATTATTAATTTGTATGGATGACTATTTGACATACTCTGATAGTTGAAGGAAACTAGCGAATAATTCAGTAAAACGATCGACTTTGCTACCGGCAAGAGTTAAGTAATTTGTATAACGCATGAGGCACAATGTATTAACAAGACCATGTATTGAGATATATACTAAGTGACATACAAATCCGGACACCCAGTTTAAATGGTTTTATTTTAATAAAATTTTGTATAAGTACTTAATGAAGCATAATAAGTAAATGATAAAAATTTCAAAATGATTGCACTGCTTTAAAGCCGTTTGACCTTTAATAATGTGTGGATGCACCCTGATATGCTACGCATTCTCCAACGCGCCTAGGCATGCTTCTGATCAGGTGGTCAATGTCCTCCTGTGGTATCTCATTCCAGGCAACCACCAACTCCTCTCGAAGTGCTTCTAGAGTAGAGAGCAATCTCCTACCCATCATATCCCACACGTGCTCAGTTGGAGATAAGTCGGGAGATATTGGTGGCCATGGTAACAATGTGACATCATTATGTTTAAAGGAGTCTATTGTGACTCTTGCAACATGTGGTCGGGCATTATCTTGTTGGAAAGTTGGATCTGCCAGGGTGTCAAGATAGGGTAAAAGATGGGGTTCTAGAACTTCGTGGATATAACGCTGCGCGTTCATGTTACCTCTGATGAAGATTAACGGTGACCTGGAACCATAAGCTATAGCACCCCAAACCATAACTCCAACAGTGTGATGAGCATGTCTTTCAACAAAAAACTGTGGATTCCTCCTTTCACCACGTTGCCTTCTAACCCTGGCACGACCTGATCCCAGAGTGACCGTTGTCTGCACCACTCAAGGCGATTACGTCGGTGTTCTCGAGTTAAAGGGAGGACCCAGTGTGGCCGGTATTAAAACAAGCCAAAACTTCTCATTCGTCGGTAAACACTTCGCATGCCAATAGGTCTTCCGTGTTTTGCAAACCATTCATTTGCAATGGACCTGGTAGTGGAGAAACGGTCCCTTAAGGCCAATAATCTTAGGCGGCGATCTTCACGGTCTGTTGTTCTACGGCGGCGTCCAGTGCCCCTTGCTCTTTGCGTACGGCCTTCTCGAAGCCATGCCTGGCAACACCTAACCACAGTGTCTACACTTCTTTGCACTCTAACTGCAATTGCCCGAAAAGGAAGTCCAGCTTCCCGAAGTCCCACTATACGGCCCCTATCAAACTCACTAAGTTGACGAAATCGTACAGGTCTCCGTACTCTAGGCATCGTAACCGGCCGTAAAGGATGTCAAGAACCAAAATCCGCCAACGTTGATTCTTTACTGCGGCTGAAATAATCATTTTTAGAGCGTTAGTCAATTAAAAAAAAGCAGTATAAAAACCGGAATGTAGAACTGATAAGGCTGAAAATTGTTTCACTTGTTATTTACAGTAAGATAAATACATTCACCAACTTTTATTAAAATAAAACCATTTAAACTGGGTGTTCGGATTTATATGTCAATTAGTATACTTATATCACAGTCTGATAATTTATTTCGGTATAGCAGCTCTGAACCGAAAATAATGATGCCAACAAAAGGGTATCAAATATATTAATAAATTGTACAGCAGAGCAGCCGCGCCGCGTCGGTGACAATTTTAATTACGTGAAAAATGAAGACTATCCCGCTGCTTCAGTTAGGATTAAATATACCTACTATAACTGCTTCGATGTCTCATTAAAAACCAATAGTTCCCACGGGATATATAATCTATTGAAAAATAGCCCTGTAATTTCGTTTTATCGATGCATAAACTGGAGACATGTGTCTTGTACCATTGGTGGTCGATCCATGAGGATTTCACTAACACCACATGAGCTTTGATAAGTGTCAATATTTACAGAAAGGTAAACAAAATTATTTATAGTAAAAAAATGTTGCGAAACAACGAAGTTTCAACTTTTTTCGAGAATTATATGAGGACTGAATAAAAAATCATTGAACCAAAAGGTTGACAAATTGATCAAATTATTTTGTTCAGTATGTATTGTTTTCTCTGAAACTTGTGGCAAAGAAGGTCTTTCCGTTGTGTGTTCATAATCTACTCGTATTTATATTACAGAAATCATCAAATACTAAGACTACTTGAATTTTCAAGTACTTGACAGACAAACGTTAAAACTACTTGACTTGGTATCAGATTGCTGATACTTGAAATGAAGTCAAGCTCAAGTCAAGTATCTTGAAAATCAGGTAGTGAATCCCTACTTGTGCAGTCGTGTACTAAGTGACATATAAAAAGAAACACCCAGAATTATTTATTGAATATTGTTAAAACCTTATTATAGGATAACGGGATCCGAACAATACGAACATGTTTACTTAAAATTCAGTGACTTTTCTGTATTGGTTCCATTTGTTTTATTGTTGTTACATTGCATGATCATGCTTAGAGTTCACAGACGCGCTAATTTCACTCAACTTTCCGAGTTTGATCAGCTTGTACTACCTCTGGCCCCACAGCATCGTCGGCAACGATTGGTATGGAGTAGGGAGGGACTTGAATGGAATATGGAATGGAAGTCAGTTCTACGAAACCAAATTCAGATGGCCTGAGATATAGTACATGAAGAAGACATCAATCACCTAATCCAATCAATGCCGCGAGGACTCAACGAATGTGTAGCGAACAGAGGAGCTTCAACACATTATTAACATTAAGTTGAGATATTTTGCGAAATTTCGAGTTAAAATTTCAATCACTTCCTATTTATCAGTAGACCTAAAAGTATGCTCAACATTACAGCCCTCCTAGCCGGTGTGGCATTTTCTATGTCATTTAGTATATTTCTACCAAGTTGGAGATGTAACACTAAGAATGATTGGAACAAAAGCTTTATTTAAGAATATGGTGATATAGATGTCTGTTATTTGTGTATGTTCAAACATAAGTTTTGGTTTGATAGTCAAATTTAGATTTGAAACGCTGGTTAAACAACCTAAATACTATCTACAAATTGTTTTATTTTTCATTGTTGAGTATGTTATCCTTTATCCCGATATAGCGCTGAAAGAAGCCTCGTCTCAGACAGACTGGAAAACGTAACACAGACAATATCAAAACTGCTAGAAGGTTACGACATACGCTTGAGACCCAATTTTGGAGGTAAGTTCGCATCCAATTGAATCCAATTTCCCTCATATCCGATTACTTTTCCATGCCAGACTGCATTCTTATTGCCAGAATACATTATACAATTTTTTTGTAAGAATATTGGTAGATATACACCAGAATCCTAACATGCTGAAGTTCGTACCTTTGGAAGAGACATTAGTATTAGAAGTAGTAGACATAACTGACACGGTACCCAATGGGTGCTTAGGCCTTAGGCCTTCGTGGTAGTTGGAGTATAAACAAAATTATTGATTAAGTTGAATACTTGGGGAACTATTGTATTGTTTCTAATAAAGCTCAACTATCTTTCATCAGATATTTACAAACATATATAAACATACGAAACTCGCTGAATGTCTGATTAAGTGAAATGTCGTCCATTGTATGTTTCCTATTCTTATAGTAAATGTTCCTTTGTGGCATTTTCACAATGTCAGGGATAAATGTACTAACTCTTTACAGGTGAACCACTTCATGTTGGAATGGACTTGACCATTGCAAGTTTTGATGCTATATCTGAGGTAAACATGGTAAGTGTTTCTGTTCACGTTATTAGCATGAAAAATTACAACTCGTAAAAAACCGTTAAATCTGATTATAATGAAAATATGTATTTAATAAATAAACTGATTTATTACTCTTTAAGACGCTAATTTATATAAACATTGCCTGCAGTGTTGCCAAGCCGAGAAAGACGAAATCGGTAGATAGTGTCGTAGCAATTCGGTAGATTCTAGGACGATGTCGGGAGGAGAAAAAAAAATCATGGGCGTCGCAAGAGCAGCGGTGGATTTGTATTGCGAGTACACACACAAATCAGGTTTTTTTGGGTGCACTTTTGCCTGAAAAAAAATCTGTTACAACGTGTACAATGAGCATACTGGTCGCTCTTCAAACTCCTTTGAAACCATCCTGGAAAATCCTTTTACAATTCTTGTTCATAGGATTGTGAATATTTTTCTGTTTTATATCTGAACATGAAGCTTCATCACCTGACATTCTAATTTAATATTTTACTAAAAATAGACGAGCTTTGATGCGATAATGGCGGTCATCTATCAGTATGTACCTGTACCAGCAGGGGAAGCAGAGTAAGGGATGTGCGTACATAATTGCAGGAAACCGAAATCTACGGCTCTCGTGTGCCCGACTGCCTAAGTGCACGCGTATGTAGAACTGATATGGGGCATAAAACTACATACACTACATGGAATGCATTTTTCTATCTTTATTTTTACTTCCAGCCCTTTTTAGATGGAAAATCTTGAAATATATTTATTATTTTAAAAAATCGTAGAGATTGAGAACGTTTTCGGTAAATCACGTCTCATTTCGGTAGAACTACAGAAAAGTCGGTAGGTTTGGCAACACTGGCTGCCTCACTCCTTTCTGAACCCTCTTGTGCCATTGCCTGGACACGACTACCTTTATACCCCCTCTAGAATATTTGACTCCTGGTCCAGGTTAGTTCTCGAAGTTCTAGATTCGACGCTCGTCGATAAATGGCAACACCGTAAGATCTCCACATTTCTATCTTTGGTTTTCATAACTGCTACACATTTTAGAAGAAATGAAAATTCGAATGGTTAAAGGTTCATCGTTTTTATGGCATTACAGTATAAGTTATGTTTATAACTGGAAAATCACATATCTGATCATAAAGCCACAATCCTAGGGATACCAATAGATGGTAGAACATCATGTGAATACTTCTGTTAGAGCAATTCAATGTATCATATAATGGCCTAAGAGAAGACCTAGATAAATATAATTAGACCAATTATTACTCTGAAAATAATGTTAACATTTTGGCTAGCCAGCTGAGTGACATATTAAGATCTTTAACTGATAAAAATACAACCACAAAAAAATTGAATAGGGGCGAGATCAAGCGAAAGCCTTGGATCACATGAGGTATGTATTGCAAATTCTGTTAATGAAAAAAATCGTCTACATTCTGAGTACTTGATGCAGCCAGAAAATGAAGAGGTGAGGATAAGATATTTGGAATATAAGAAAAAATTGGAAAAACTCATACGAAATGCTAAATACAATTTTTACAAGTAACAAATAAATAAAAACAAAGATACTCCTAAGAAATTGTGGAACGTAATTAATAAACTCTGTAAAGGCAGTTCTAAATGTGCAGTTAAGGAAATAGTTGATGAAAATAAATTATGTGATTCGCCAATAACAATTGCGAATGAGTTTAACGATTTCTTTGTAAATATTTTCAAATACTATGCTGAACGCATTGTGAGGCCAAACAAAAATAGACCGCAAAAGAAAATAAATCAAAGTACATTTTTCTTAGAGGCGGTAGATGTAACTGAAGTAACCTCAATCATTAACACATTAAAAAATGATAAATCGCCCGGTTTTGACAACTTGAAGTCCGAAGTATTTAAATATACTGCTGACATTATTTCAATGCCGCTATGTCACTTAATCAACCGGATTTACATTTCTAATCAAGTCCCAGAAGGGTTCAAAGTAGCTTTAGTTACACCTGTCCATAAAAAACGTGATGTAAAAAATATAAATAACTATAGACCAATATCTGTCATTATAATTATAGCTAAAATATTTGAGAAAACATTGAAAAATAGGCTACTTAAATTTTTGGACAAATGTCTTTCAGATAAGCAATTCGGTTTTCGAGAGGGAATATCAACAAAAGATGCAATTGCTAAGTTAACAGAAGAGATTAGAAAAATATTAGAATTGAGTACGCCGGTACTGTGCGTATTCTTGGATCTTGCCAAGACCTTCGACACTGTGAATCACCAGCAGATGTTGGAGACCTTGGAGGATGTAGGAGTACGAGGCGGACCTTTACAGTTGTTTACAAGCTATCTCTCAAATCGAAAACAAGTAGTGAAGATTAGTGACATATTCAGTAATGAAAAGACAGTTGATTACGGTTTACCTCAGGTTACTGTAGTCCTGTATGATGATAACGCTTGGGAAAATGTAAAAATTAAAGCAGAGCGGAATCTAGGAACTATTTTCGATTATTTTCCTCATAAACTTTTAACCGTGAGATATGAAAAAAAAGTGTATGCCCTTTTCTAATACAGTACGTTATCTAACTCAGTATGAACAACTTTTAATAAATCAAAGTATATCTTTAACATCTGTGAAAACCTATAAATACTCGTACTTAGGTGTCACCATTGATCGCCACTTGAGATGGGATGTTCATATAGCTAACATTACAAATACCTTACGACAACTATTATATTGCTTTAAATACTTAAAACATCTCATAGACTACATGCACCTGAAAATGTTGTATTATTCATTAGTTGAATCACGTCTACGATAAGCTATTTTGAGTTGGGGAAGTACCGCATATTGTCATTTGCGGATATACTGCGAAAAGGATTGTTGAAAGTAATATTTGGCAAAAAATTACTTATCCTTATAAATTATTTTCAGAGACTGAAGTGTTTGACCTAAGGCAACTGTTTTTGCATGAATTAATTCAATTCATATACAAACACAAACACAACTTCAATAAAACTAGCCATGCTTATAGCACTAGATATAAACAAAATGAAAACTTCAAAATAAAAACTTTTCAAAGAAATGTAAGCTTGCGATGCCACACCTACCTATCATGTAAAATTTATAATTGTTTGGCATACGTGTACTGTAGGTATGTTGATGAAATAAACTCATTGTCTTTGACAAAATCTTTATTTAAAAAATATATTTTTTCAATTGGTAGATAAGAGACAAGAAATTTTGTAGAAATTATCTACTAGAAATCGTACTACGCTAGTATTACTCCTCCTCACCCTCCATATTTCTGTAGTTAGTGGAATAAACTTTATTATACATATAAGTGCTACTGCTCCTTACCTTCCATACTTACAATGTGCTTGTTCTGTAAAATCCTGCTACTAAGCAAAATTTATTATCAAAATTATATCAAAAAAAAGTCTGCACAACCAACTATTTTGGTTTCAATGGGCTTTACAAGACATTTTAATTTTGCTGTGACTTGTGACATGTTAACTTAAGATTATTTTGTGAAAATCAGATATTATGTTTTATTTTACGTTTATCATTGTACTTAAGTTAGCATTTGTATTTATTAAAAAATAAACGTATACTACTACTACTACTACTACTAGGAGTACCTTTTTGAATACTCGCGATGTACGCGTTGCAAAATATTTATTATTTTTATGTATTACTTCTATGTTGCTATAGATATACTAAAAATTTAATCTGGTCAGCGTAAATCAAATCTTTTATATTAACAAAAAGCTAAAATGTTGGAGCATGAAAAACGAGGCATTTCCATTGCGTTGTTCGACATAAATCAAAATGAATTTTAATCTTTGCAAGCGTAAAAAATTATATCCAAAAGTATGCTCGTGATTACACATGAACAGCTGTATATTTTGTGTAAAATACCGCTTTTACTGCTTCTCATAATACATTGCTAAAGGACGTTTAAAATATAGATGAACAGTCTGCGAAAATCAAAAGTTCGCTATTTGTTAGCCTACCAAGCAAGATTAAAAATTACTTTAAGATAACCTAAGCCTAACAGAATCTTATAGGCTTTAGCTCGAATTCAGACACCTGTAATCTCAAAAATTATGATCTTTAACGTTCTTTTAAACGTTGAAAATGCTCACTCTTTTGGCTTTTTCAGGCATTAAATTGCTTATATCTCGAACATGGTCAATTCGAAAGACCACTTACAAAGGACAATTTTCTGGTAAGAATGATCCGAAAAACCTAAAAAAAGCTCAACCATAGCGAAAAAACTTATTTTATGATTTATTATGTTTGTCGACCACATGATGACAGAATTACCTACATTACGAAGAAGTTCTTTCTTTTCCGCTAGCCGATAGTTAGTGAGATATGTATAATAGATAAAAATCAATTTGAGAGATATAGTCCTTTCACTTTTCATCCTTACAGGAAGAATAATACTGTGAAAAATAGTTAAAAGAGCATACGTGAACTTTTTAAATTTTTGGTGAGGACGGCTACAACAACAATTCAGTAAAACTGACTAAAAAGTAGATATGTGGAAGAAAAACCATTAAAATCACAATCAAAATTGAGGCTATGATCAAATTCATCTAGCCTCCTTGGTAAAGAGCGTCAAGTTGATCTTATATAAGTCAAAGAAATTGACAAATGCCCTTTTAACTATTTGCTACAGGTTGTGCGTCGTAGTCGGCAGTCACTTCGGTGCTACTGTGGGCTCTACGATGTGAAAGTCAATATCGTCATCTACGTGGGATAAGTCATAGCAATGATCATGTGTACCAGCAGGAATTTCTCTTAATTGGAGGAGGAAGGTCAATTAATGTTTTGCTAGGTATTTCTCACAAGGGCTAACTTGAGCCGAACAGAATCCTTTACAAACTGATAACAGCGTTGCGTGGGAAGTACAGAGTCACCTTACTTACCATTTGTTTAGCAGTGACTCATTGCTTCGTCTGTTTCCATTATTATTTCGCGATTATTCCAAGTGACCCTAAGCTTCCCCAATCAAAATAATGCAACTAAAGCATAATTCACAGGTCAGTAACAGAAAATTTAAGGAGAATGTGGAAATTTGCTTTTCAGCTCGATTAATTATTCCAAACTGAGCAAGTAGTGACTGTTACAATATCCAGTGATCATTCAATAAAGTTATGCATATGAATATAACTTGAGCCGTTTGATTTTATTTTCCTGTTAGGTTGGATCTTCTCAAAAAAATGTAGACTTCAGACTTTTCTAATCAACTCATAAAATTATTGAGTTATTCTCTATACTCAACAGAAGAGAATTCCTCAACAATAAATGCGTCGCCTGTGACGTGACCTCAAACAACAACAAACACCGGACCTGTCTAGCACTGAAAAAGCCTGATCCTATGCGATTTTATCCAGACGCCTGAAAATAATAAGAATATGTTACTGACAAATGTTCTAGATTCGCTATATTCATAGCAAAAACAATATAATACAATATAATACAGGGTGCGGCAAGGAGGACGGTCGTTTTTGGGATGGGTAGTACTCTCCGCCTCCGTCTAAGAGAGAGGTGGGAAGGGTACCGTTTGACTCGTGAGATCCTAGCATTATTTTACCAGTTGTGGTTATGGAGCCTTGGACGGTGGAGCACTGCGTTTTCGCCTATGATTGTTTCGTCGGAAATAATGAGTCAGTCATCGTCGTACAGCGTGAGTTTCGTCGCCACTTCAACTTTCATCGGAATAGAGCTGTTCCCTCTCGAAACACCATCCTTCGTTGGGTTGAATCACTTCGCAGGCGTGGTGAATTGATCAACAGAAGACCAAGAGGAGCGCCGCGAACAGTTCGAACTCCTGAAAATGTTGAACGCGTTCGACAGGTCTTTCTTCGCAGTCCGACTCGATCTGCCCGGAAACATGCTGCTGCACTTCGCCTTAGTGATCGTTCGGTAAAGCGAATTTTGCATATGGATCTCCGCTTTCACCCCTACAAATTGGCCATTGTGCAACAGTTACAGCCCGGAGATTATGCACAACGAATGAACTTCGCACGTGAGATGGAAGCACTCATCGATCAAAATGAGAACCTCATTTTGTTTATGAGTGACGAAGCCCACTTTCATAAGCCACAAGCCCCGAACTCTGGACGAATTGAAGGGCGAAATTCGCGTGGATGTCGCCCAAGTTGAGAGAGCGATGTTGTGGAGAGTCTACGCGAACTTCCAAGAACGCCTCCAGCACTGCATCAACGATTTCGGCCACCACATGCCTGATGTGATTTTCCACATTTGACTGTCTCAAATGCTATTTCCTTGTGAACCTGATTCCATCAATAAATTTGTTTTCGAGTAAAAATTAACTATTTTATGATTTTTTTAAAACCGTCCATCCTCTCTGCCGCACCCTGTATGTTCTATCTTACAAGAAGCTTTCGCTTAGTTCACTTAACCTTTTTTTTTCAGGACTACACTATCACGCTGTATCTGAACCAATATTGGAAAGATGAGCGACTGGCGTTTAGTAACTCTGAGGAAATTCTCACGCTTTCCGGGGACTTTGGTGAAAAGATATGGGTTCCGGATACCTTTTTTGCTAATGACAAAAACAGGTAATGTATATTTTTATACAGTGTCACTTTCATGGAGACCTTTAGGTAATTTTCATCGACAGCTCTATGAGACTACCTATCGAGGCTTTATCCATCACGAATTTTGTCTATTATTCTCTGCAAAATTGAAGAAAAACCGATTATGAAAGGACATACTTTTGTTCTGCTATCTACCCAAATACGTTAATTTAAAACTGAAAAGTGCCGATTACAGAACTATACATCTTTTGCAATTTAATCCAAAGACAATTCACAAAAAACTAAGAATTCCAGCAACCTTTCAGCTTCAAAAAACTATCATATTTTAACTAGCTAGTTTCACATTTAGAAGTCTTTAAATGTTTTGAGGTTCAATCGGAATCGTCAAATGGTTTCACGCGGATTACAGAACCAGACTACCGGTACCACTAACCACTATCTAAAACGAAGGAAAAAATTAATTCAGAAGTAAAATAAAGTACTGTTACAAAATTATCGAAGAGTGTTTTCGCCTCCCGCTATACTGTTATTGACATTGTAAGAAGTAAGAACAAAGCAAATAAAAAATGTTATGAGCAAAAATAGGTATTCTAAGATATAATTGGACTCCTATTAAATTATTTGTTTCTAGTTAATTCAAAATTACTTATAATGCCATTCAAAATGTTTGTATTGTATAGAGCTTTTCACTCAGGCCTTACATGGTTGCGAAATTGCAGCATAATTCCTTGGATTCTTAAAATCTCCCCATTTTTCAGCTAGCTTAGATAGATAATCATTTTTCAGTTAATTTGAGAAGAAAGCTACCGTGTACAATAGTCCAAATAGTACACTAATGGTTCTGACAAAACCCTACGTCTCTTTGATGTCATTGAACTACATAGAAAGTTATACTAGGAGTTGAATTGTTTCAAAAACGTGGAAAGTATAGAGTCAATCTACTTGACGCTATTGGTTCTTATGTTAGTTATATATTATGTATAATTCATAATGAACACTCTGATTACTAATGGCATATTTGAAACTTATCATATGGTTTCCATGCTGACTATCCCCCATGCTTGTCTGGTCGCTAAATGAAACCATATACAGGGAAAACCAAATTTGTCTGACGGCTTGAGTTCATTGTGTACAAGGGAGAAGCGCGCGAAGTGTGTATCAACACATGTTAGAAAGAGATAGAATCCGGCTGATGAGCGAAGGTCATAACCATATTGCCTAGCAATGGTGACGCAGAATGTCATGCAATCTGCCGCGTTGCCAATATGTTACACCAGAAAATGTTCGCAAAGGCTTCTACAATAGGTTAGGTTATGTCAAGCTCAGGAAGGAGGTCTGTTCGAACATTTAATTTAATATTTTGTTTTCATTTTGATTAGAATCATTTATTTCAATTCTGATGCAACTTAGTGTTTTAATTTATTTTAGAATTATCTTTGATTTCAGCCGATCCACACATCCTGAGTCATTGTTACATTTTGCGACACCGAGCAGTCAGAAAATGTAACAAATACCATTACGCAATACAAATTATCACTGCCTGCGTGTAGGTAGGTAAAAACCATTTCGAAGCAGGTTCACACTTCCCAAATAGCGCTAGATGAGTACTGACCAAAATCGTCATCCAAGATCATGGAGGTGGAAACCTTGCCTTGGAATGTACTAGATGCGGTATTGCCATGCGAACCAGTGATGCAATGTTGCAAAATTTGTGGCGAACTGGACCTTCCATGTCGACCTTAAATGGGCGCCAGTAATACCGATCTGAAATCGATCCTAAACAGATGCGACCCAATCCACAATCCAAAAATGTGTACACTAAAAATAAAAACCATTATTTGGTCATAGAGAATAAACTAACGCATATTTCCAACATGCATCTTAATTCAAGCAAATGGTGTAACATATTGGCAACGCGGCAAACTGCCGCGTCAGCATCGCTAGCCAATGCAGTAATGAGCTTCGCTATCTAGCCGGTTTCTATCTCTTTCTAACATATGTGTCTATACACACTTCTCTCTCGTACACATTGCACTCAAGTCTTCAGACAAATTTGGTTCTCTGTGTATGTTGTACTTGAAAAATGCCACCGTCGTATAAGTAAAATCAAATTATTCAAAACATGCAGCTACAAATATTTTGAACATGCTATATGCCATGTTCTTTCTTCATTGTCTTCCAAACGAAGTAATTTATGTGAGTTTATACTATAATTTGATTAAGTTTGAATTTGAAACGACAAATTAGCTAAAATAATCCTTCTAAGTTAAAGTAACCACCGTAAAGTAAGTTCCAAATTATCATGAAATATGCACGTGATGGTGAACTCCAACAATTACCATCCACTTAGCCAGTAGACATAATTCTATTCCCTATTCTTTCTCCAGTTTCTTGCATGACGTCACAGAAAGGAACAAGCTAGTTCGCCTAAGCGGAGATGGAGCAATCACATACGGGATGCGATTTACAACCACATTAGCCTGCATGATGGATCTCCATTACTATCCCTTGGATTCGCAGAATTGCACCGTGGAAATAGAAAGCTGTGAGTGTAATTATTTTCGTAAACAATGTATAAATATCATTTAGTATGTCAACTCTTTCAAATGTTGGTAACGGAAAACAGTTTTTGGTAGCGACACTTTTTCACAGAATTTTATTTCAGATTTTTCCATAAATTCTCCATCGACGAATGGAAAAAATATTAGGAAACGTCCAACAAAAAATTTTACATTTGATCCGGGTACCGAAACTAAACTAGGTGCAAAATATCTTTTGCAGTAAAGCCATTGGCTTACACAAAATAGTATCAGATTTTCAAAACTGTTAATCCGTGAATTTGAAGTTAGTGCGAGTTAATATTTTCAAAGCTTTTGAACTCCAAAATCAACTTCTGCTTACCGCTAACATAATCAACGTTCTGATATGAATAAAAAATAACCCCATTTTAGGACATTCTGTGGCTTGGCCTCAACTCTAACACATCCACCAAATTTATTCGCTGCCTTTATCGCACTACCTTGGACGACCTACTTGAATACCTCGCTGTAAAGATCGACTTTCTGAACATCAATCATCCCGCTTCAGAGGTAGTTCTGCTCGGTGATTTCAATGCCCATAAAGAGATTGGGCTGGGCTCAAACAAGACCGATGCAGCAGGTCGTGCAGTTGCAGTGTTCGCTATCTACTGTCTCCCCTGGGTAACTGAGACCACGGTGTTGTAGAGGTTAGGTTTCGGTCAGATCTCACTCTGACAGAAAACTCTCTCCCAGGCCGAAAAATTTGGCATTACGGTCATGCCGGCTGGGAGAGGCACAGAGACTTCTTCTCCACCCTTCCTTGGACATATATTTCACAGACGCGAATGCGTCGGTTGTCTGTTCATAGATAACCGAAATTATCCACGTTGGGATGAAGGAATACATCCCTCATAGAGAGAAAGTGCCTAAACCAGGGTTCAACGACTGGTTCAACAAATCGTGCGACACTGTTCGCCAGCAGAAGATCAAGGCACACAGAACCTTCTTAAAAAAACCCACTGCAGAGAACAGAGAAGCTGACGTCGAGTACAGAAACAAATATAACGAAGCGGTTCGTAATGTCAAAGACCAGCACGATATAAGAGTGAGAGAGTAGATACAGAGTAGCCTTCCACCACTTACGTGTGAATGATTGTAACCGACTCACAGGAATAGACGACCTCCCCAAGGCCCGAGTGCCGTCGATTCAAAGGGTTCCCTACACTATGCGGAAAGTAACAGTCAGGCATAAGACCGTAAAACGGGTGCTCTTGTCGCTTCACATCAACAAAGCTTCTGGTTTGGACTTGATTCCTTCCGTTGTATTGAAGAGGTGTGCAGCGGAGCTTGCTCCTGTTCTTTCGCGTCCCTTCTAGACATCTTACGAATCTGCCACCTTCCCAGAAAACTGAAAAATTTGTTCATTTCCAACTCATCCCAAACATAGTCTCTGAGACTGTCCCTTACAACTACAGGCCTATAGCTCTGCTTCCTATTATAAGTAAGGTGATGGAGAGGTGCATAAATTGCGAGCTTCTAGACGACCTTGAAAGTCACGGATGGTTTCCCGCACCAGCGATCCATAGGGAACCTTCTAGTTTATGTCACGCAATTGTGGAGTAAACTCATCTAGTCTTATGGTGAGGCTGATGTCGCGGCTCTTTATGCCACAAAAGCATTCAATTAGCTGTGGCACGCTGCTTTCTAATGCAAACTTTCCTCCTATGGCCTCCCAGAAAAGCTTTGCTGACCTCAACATATCCCTCGTAATTGACGGGTTCTCCTCTGTTCTATACAATCAACCCAATCCATAGCTTTATTACTGATGACAGCACTCTAAATGCAGGAATTCAGAGTGACTGTGCCGGTGAGCAGGAAAAAAGAATACTAGCGGCGACTTCCTCTCTGACGAGAGACCTTGACTAACAAAAAGCAACCTAGTGCTCATCCGGTTTCGATGAATGACCGAGTTCTGAAAAAGAGCCGTTCATTTCGGCTGGTCGGAGTCCAGATCACCGACGACTTGATATGCACGAACACATCTCGCGGCAGCTGGTGAGAGAAAGCTAGGCTATTAGTTTAGGGCTAAGAAGTACCTTTCTCCCCAAGACCGCCTCACTCTATACAAGGCCTAGATAAGGCCTAGCCTCGAGTATTGCTCACACGTTTGGGGTTCTCATAGCAGGCGCGGTGCCCTGGCATTTAGGCTTCTGCCTGCGGTATAAAAAAGAGCCTGCACTCCCAAACTTTAGAAGTTCACTACCGTCAACAGCATTTTGTTATCAATAGCCTTTTGGTCTATAATCATAACATGAAATCGGTCAATCAATTGAAACGTAAACGCCACAATCTACCAACCTTATGGAGCGTCAAGTAGTTACTATGAAAATAGAGTACAACGTCACGCCTTTATATAATACTTTTCGATATTGACTATGTCTATCTGCGTGTTATATACTGATTGTTTCAAATTCGATTCTTACCATTGGGATCCTGGAAACGGTAACAGATAGGAGGTCGGTGAGAAATTAGGCAACCGAGAAAATGGTACTTCTAAAGTTTCGTAACCCAGACTCTTTCCGGAAATAGACAAAAAAAATCTCTCTTTCGTGAAACGATTTTTTTTCTGACTGTCTTAGGTAAGCTTTCTGAATAAACTACACACAACATGGTCTCTTTTTCTCATCTACATGGAGGCGTAATTAGAATTTCAATACGACGTTTCGTATCTTGTCCTCAATCATCAACTTTGTTTTTGTTATGGGCACCATATTAGATTTTTGCATAGGTGAATAGAGTTTCTACTTCTCGATAACATATAGCTATAGTCACTGTATAGTAACACCACTTGAAAAACACCTTAGGAGAATTGAGAAAGTATAAGGAACATCCACACACAAAAATGCCATATATGCTCAAGCCGTTATGAATTTACCTTCAAAGAGTAAAGAAAAAACACTTAAAAAACATCATTACCCCCGAACAACACCAGTCTAACTACAGAACTAAGAATGAATTGAAACTGTTAAGAACTCTAAAAATGGTGGTATTTAATTATATTTAAAAGACCTCTACCATAAGAAGCTGAAAGATGAAATTAGGAAGAATGTACCATCAACATATTATACATTATCCGAACCGAAAATGTTTAATCCTAAAATAAGTATTGTTGGCTACCACTCTAAAGAAAAACTTCATGAACGTGAAATAGAAGAAGATATTATTCGGCAAAACCGCTTTATAACAAAAGAAAATTTAAAATTCACCTATTTCAGATTCCTTCCTCACAAAAAGATGAACTTAGTTTACGCAGAGGTGTCCGGTAAACTATTCGGACAAATATTTGATAGTAATGGAGGATAAATTTTAATTGGTTTTCAAAATTTATCAGTATATCCTAATAATGAGGTAACTCAGTGTACAAATTTCTTCAAGTTTAATCATTCTGGTAAGAAATGCATTAGTCATAAAGTATGCTTCAAATGTGGAGAACATGATGTTACTTCATGCAACAAATCTACCAATTCCATTTGCTGCAACGGCGTTTATTCATATAAAAATACGACAGAAACTATGATATGCATCACTGCCCTACACATAAATGTTTATTCTAAGTTCCTAAGGACTTTGGACTAAGGAAATTTATGAGTAGATACATTACAGAAGACCTGAAATAACTAAAACGCATATTTTGGACAATTTACACGATAACAAAATTACGTTTCTTTAATAATATTGATTCAGGATTAAACAACTTTCACACTAACATACGGAACATTCATAGATATATGAATGAACTCCATGCCTTAATGGACATGCTAGATTTTAAATTTGATGTTATATATATAATATTAAATAACCCTTGTTATATGTAGTTAATAAAGCGGTAAATTTTTCAAATGTTTTTGCAAACACTGTTCTCAAAAACTGAAGCGATCATTACTTGGTGCTGTAATCGAATAAATAAGTCACAAACTGTCATCAAGGCCGAGTACGTTTTTTTTTAAATCTGTTGTTTTGCATTGTCAATGATACCTGAATGCGCAACTTTGCCCTTATTCAACCGACTTCCTAGCTCTTAACGTTTTCGAGATGCCAGATCATATATGATCCTGCTCATTGAGAGAGCAATCAAACGATGAACTTAACGAGATATGGTCTTAATCCATGCTGCCTTATAAAAGGGCGTCATTTGCATCATAATAGCGCTTTACACGTGGCTTCTTGACATAAGCATGCTACATATTTCAACGTATTAGCTGTAAAGTACCCTGTTTATTGACCATTTTTAACTTCTAGATGGCTACACAGTAATGGACGTAGTGATGTATTGGAAATCCACACCAGTGAGAGGTGTCGAAGAAGCAGAATTACCTCAATTCACCATTATCGGCTGGGAGACCAATGATAGGAAAGAACGTCTTGCTACCGGAATCTATCAAAGACTTTCGCTGTCGTTCAAATTACAAAGAAACATTGGCTACTTTGTCTTCCAGACTTATTTACCTAGTATACTGATAGTTATGCTGAGTTGGGTGTCATTCTGGATTAATCATGAAGCTACCAGTGCACGAGTGGCCCTTGGTAAGAACATTTTCAAAATAATGCTATATTGTATAAGGTTTATTTTTACGAGGTCTGTAAATTAAGCAGAAAGACTGGTTTTGTTTAATCTTTTTATTCGAATATAATTATAATTTTATATTGTCACGCTCAAAATAACTTCCTTCTGAAGCCACACAGCGCTGGAGACGGTTCTTCCACTCCTTATAGCAGAGTTGGGACTCCGATACTGAAGTAGCCTTCAGCAGGTTGGTTATAGCCGTTTGAATGTTTTCGACTGTCTCAAAATAAGTTCCCTGGAGGTGATTTTTCAACCTTTAGGAAGATAAAAAAGACACAAGGACTCAAGTCAGGTCAAAAACGTGTTTATTGACCTTGTTGTGTGACAATGAGCATTATCGTGATACAACACCCAGTTCTTGATGTTTGGTCTCACACGAATTACCCTTTTTAAGTGTTTTAAGAATCTCCCGGTAAAAGTGTTGTTTGACCATGTGGCCTTGTGGTATAAACTCTTTTTGGACGATTCCGTGGTTGTCTTTATTGCCTTTTGGGGCCTTTAGTTTCTGGGTCGTACTCAAACACCCAAAACTTGTCACCAGTAGTGACACGTTCCAGAAAATAGGGGTCATTTTCAATTGAATCCAAATGTCGCCTTTCCTTCCTGGTGTCCTTGTGGTCATGTGAAAGGTTTTTTGCAACAATTCTTGTGCAGTTTTTTCCCATCCTCAGGTCACTGGCCAAAATCTGATGAACCGTGGTGTGTCCGTGGGTCTGCTGAAGTTTTACAATAGTTTTCGTTGCACTGTGCTCAAGTCTGAAGTAAAACCTGATAGCATACCGTTGCCCGAAATTGATGTCACTCATTTTTAGAACACAATAGGAAAAACTGTTTCACACCTTAACGGCAACCAAATGACTCGAGCAAGTTCAAACTTGTACTGAAGGCGGATCAGATGTTCCCCTGTCTCCCTCTCAGCCCCGGCCCCTCCTCCAGTGTTGCCACTACTTAATCTACAGACAGCTTCGTCCGCAACGATGAATCACTACAGTACTACTATAATAAGCAGTACTTAGTTAAAAAGTACCACTAAAGCGTTTTAGCATAGCTTGATAATCAATATTTTAAAATGGGACTTTTATTAGTTGCTCCACTCTGTTTCGTAGTCTTATTTACCATACATTTTTTTAACCTGTAATCTAATACGTGACTGACCAAACATCTATCTGGGCAAAAATAATACATCTTTTGAGTCATAAAATATACATGGGACAATAATTTAAAAATATTTTGCTCTTTATTCTTGATCAAAACTCTGTTTCGAATATACCGGGCCAAAAGATTTCATCAAAGTCACATTTGGGTTTGTAAGATCATTGATGCAGGCGAACTAAGTGTAATGGAGTGTAACACAGAGTTTTTCCTTTGTCTAAAATTTTCTAAAACTTCAGAAGTTAAACTACTGAATACAGCTTAATAAGCTACGGTCATGGTGCTCTTTTTTGTTTGAATTAACGCTATTTGGCATTCCAAAATTGTGTATCTATTGTGATTGCTAATTTGTATGGCATCTGAAACTCATCCTGTGGCTTTCATGCTGGTAGTCCCCAGTGTTTTATTGTGCGACGGTTCGGTGCCAACGGTGAGCTTCTTCAAGAGCAATTGGCACTTTTGACAAATAAACAAAATATATTTTCAACTGTCGAAATTTAGTTAGAATCAGCCACCGGTTTCCTTTGTTGTGGATAAGACGTGGCGTGGTCACTGCACGTTCTAGCTTAACCGTCAGAAAATTGTTATATGAAAGTTATTGAATTGAACTGTAAACGCATCATGCCTCGAAATTTCACTTTACTTGAATAACTCAGGGAACAGATATGGAAGGGTGTCGGGATCCAAAATAACTCTACTTTGTCACGATTTTCTGCTACGAATAGCAGTTTCGATTAAATAAGTTCTTTTCTTAATTAGATCACAGTTTCACGTATGAACAAGCACCACTTCTGGAAGATGCTCAATTCTGGACTTGACTAATTGCGATAATTGGATAGTTTCTGATTCCTCGTTAATTTGAATTTATTCCTCTTAAGGCGTCACATCTGTAAGTGGATACTGAATTTAAACTCGATAATTAAGCCGAAGCACGCTTAGATCTAACGAAATTAGGACAAGGCAATGAAAACAAATCGATGGATCTCTCGGCTTTATAAGTCGTTGAATTTTCGTATGTAATGGGGAATATGCATGCCTTTTTGTATTTGTATTTTCTCTAGATTACTCATTCATGGCATGTATTTTTTAAATAGACATTTAAAAGTTCAATGACGTTGATTTCAATTCCGCATTTTTTGCGCGTTTCCCAGTTACGTCACAACTCCGCGTTTTCAGTATTCTTTGGGACTGATCAAACTGATAGGTTGACAATCAATGACAGCAGCAAAGGATAACTGCTCACTTGCCGATACCGTGACGGCATGCCAACACCGTTGCGTTTCGACATCTTCAATTTTTCGCGTATTTTCCTATTTTAATATTAATTAGTAATTTTATAGCGCATCAGTACAAAATAACGTTTAAGGTAACTTTCTATAACAATTAACGAAAATTAATAACTAATATGTGAATTACATGCAAATTCTCCATTATGAGCATATCGATACACAGGCTAAGTTAACGAATGCAGGAAACTGAATTTTCTGTTGCTGAAACACTATTTATTTTTATATTTAATTTGAAAGTATTCCACTTTTATGGCCGTCGTCCACGGTGTCATACCGATGACGTCATAGGTACGAATTTGCCGATCTGTCGACAAGTCTCCATTGTCGATGTATGAAAATCTGATTGCTTTACTAAAATAGTACCTTACACACCTAGGTTGAGAAGTAAGCGATTATTGGTCGAGCACTTGTATCTTGAGGCGCATGCGGAGACAATACTGGTAGGAGGGACGGAAGACTTAATGTGGTTTTGTATAACAGATGCCAAAAGATTTAGAATGCATTACCGGTAATCCTTGTTCAGGCAGTACCTTTACCTTCATGCATTATTAAATAGCACAGGAGCTTGCGAACAATTTGAAGTGCTCATGCTATGAGACACTGCACAGAGACCTTGACATTCCTTACTTAAGTTATAGTAAGCACAGCAACCCTCTGTTACGTGACTCAGTAGAACAATTTTGTAAACATTCAAGGCCATGGGTCGTACTGTGACAAAAAAATTTATCATGAACTTTCAGAATACCAAAAATTATACTCTAGCAAAGACTTTAGTTTAAATTTGTTCTTGATACACATCAAAAAGGATCCATGTAACAAACATAAAAGTCTAGGTGTTTCCTCTTGAACTGAAACAATTCTTTCTTGTTTGTTCTTCTCCAGGACTGACATATTCGACCAACGTACATTGGACAGTGACTAATGGGCAAAGGCCCTAAGGAACGCTCAGAAAATCAAATAACCAATAGTATTATCGTGCTGTTAATCGACTTAAGTACCTTTCCTTTTTCAGGTATAACAACCGTTCTAACCATGACCACCATCAGTACCGGAGTGAGAAGTTCTTTACCAAGAATTAGTTACGTTAAAGCAATAGATATTTATTTAGTCATGTGTTTCGTTTTTGTGTTTGCCGCACTTTTAGAATACGCAGCTGTTAACTACACGTACTGGGGAGCTCGAGCGAAGAAGAAAAGCAAGAAGGGTAAAGCACCTGAAGAAATTAAAGCTGGTGAGTCCAATTGAACATTTTTAACAGCTATCTAAGGCAGGCAGAAGCTTGAATGTCAGGCCACCGCTGTTGCTATGAGTAGCTTAAATAAGCTTTGTGAATCCGATTTTTGAAGTGTGTAAGGTTAGTAGAAATGGGAAAAGCCTTCTCATGTAGATTGTTCCACAATCACGATACCCTAGAAACAAAGGAACGGTCGAATCGGCCAGTTCTGGATGTATGGAGCTTGACACGGTCAAGATGGGAGGCCGGAGTCGGACGAGTCTGTTTGGTACCTACATCGCGCGGCGGCCTCATGGGAGAGGCCTATGAGGCCAAAGCCCATTGGCTTAGCGGTAGAAGGGTCCCGAAGCTGTCCATTAGAGAAGAGTCATCGATCCGTCGGATAGCCTTGCCGGGGTGGACAAATAAAAAGTAATTCAGGCATTAAGGCCACACATTTTAGCATTTATGATGGATAAAGTCTAACTACCAGGACTCCGCTGCTGCCATGAAGAGCTTGAAGATACTTGTGAATTCAAAACTGCCAAAGGTTAGTATAACAGAGAAGATTCGATTTTTCCACGATTTCGATCCTCTAGCGACAAAGGAGCGGTCGTATCGGCCAGTTCTGGATGTACATAGTATGACACGGTTAAGATCCCAGCACCTAACGCTGTTGACAAAATGTCAAGACCAAGTCCTCCTGATCGGACTTGGACTAGCCGAAATGAATGGCTGTTTTGTAGGATCTATCGAAATCGGATGAGCGCTAGGACGCTTCTTGTTCGTTAAGGTACAGTACTGTTTTTGAAGCATTGAACTGTACAAGGTTATTGTGTCCCCAAGCAGTGATAACCTCCAGATCTCTCGTCAGGGACAAAGTCGCTGCTAGTCCGTTTTCTAGTGTACCGGCAGAGATCGGCTTGTTACTCTGAATTCCTGTATGTAGAGTGCTGTCATCAGCAAAGCTGTGGATTGGATGACCGTACAGGAAAGGAGGTCGTTCGAGCCGAGACCGATGCCTGGGGAACACTGCTTTGACGTTGTGAGATGAGGAGGAGAACCCTTCAATTACGACGGATATCTTGCGGTCAGAGAGGAAGTCAGTGCACATGAGAGGGCATCGTGCTCAGTTGATCGAACGCTTGCGAGATATCAAAAGCATCGACGTGAGCCTCACCATATGACACAGTCATGCTATAACCCTCCCTGATTCGGCTTATGCCATCTGAAGGAGGCCCCGGTAGTGATAGGCATAAATTCTTGGCTGGGGCGGCAAACGTGGTTATGCTATATGGAGACCCTATCTATAGCAAGGCTTTTGGGAAAAATACATATTAGGCAGCTAATGGTCAGAAGTCAGGGGAAGGTCGTACTGCGCGTCATTTGCGCTTATAGAATGGTATGCACAGATGCAGAGCAGAAAATTGATACAGACCTTCAATGCACCATTATGAATGATACAAGTATATCAAAACTCCTCATATATGCCAGGTGCGGAACCTTGTTTTATTTAGGTTGAAATGTCAAAAATGTCATTTTTGTCATATTTCTCTAAAAGGAAAAGAGATACCACAAAAATACCTTATACAAAAGTTGTAGAGAATACAGTTATCTATTAGTACTAGAACTTCCATTTCGTTTAGGAGATTTAGTGAACTGTGGACTCTCCGGTACTCTTCTGCTCTTATGCGGCATACATTATGTGTATGACATCAATATGAATATATATGTTGAAGTAACCACCTTGTAGAGTTTACTGCTTCCAAAAGAGAATACTGTACCTTGACTAACAAAAAGCGTCCAAGCGCTCACCCGGTTTCAATGGATGTCTGAGTTCTACCAAAAAGCCGTTCATTCTGGCTCGTCGGAGTCCAGATCACCGAGGACTTGATCTGGCACGAATACATCTCTTCTACCTTCATATAAGGTCAATACCTTTACCTACTACAAAATGGTGGTACATTTAATAATTACTTGAATACAAACCCACTAACATGCATATCTCTACAAATAATTGTAATTCCCTGCCGTATCTACAGCAACAGCGATAAAAACTTGTTTTGTTATTTTTTGTTGACAGTGACAAGAGTATCAGTACGAAAACAAACATCATTAAAATATTCTTATTTCGTTTTCGGTTTTAGTGCTAGATACTGTTTGAACTATTTTTAAAATGGTCAATTCTCGTCCATTGGAAGAAAAAATCGAAGCGATTTTTATCTATGGTGCGACGCGTAACTTTCACGAGACCGGAAGAATTTTTAATGATCCTTTCCGGAATCGTCCTATCTGTAGAAAATATGTAAGGGAACTTGTATATAAATTTACAGCTACTGGTAGTGTAAACAACAAAAAGCCCCCAGGTCATCCGACCATCCCGGAAGTTCAAATAATTGGTGAGATTATAGTAAATCGCCAATCGCGATCGTATGTGTATCGCCATCGCGAATGTATGTGAGGTTTGTCCTCCTACTGTATGGAGACTTTTGAAAAAGAATAAATATCACCCATACAAAATTCAAATGGTACATCAGCTATATCCAAAATATTTGTTTTAGTGATGAATGTACATTTTTTCTATGCATAGACAAAATTGTCGTTAATGGAGGGACATCAATCCTCACGTCTTCCGGGAAACTCATACTCAATATCCACAAAAAATTAACTACTCGTCAGCTTCAAAATGATGTGCCACAAGACCCCCGTTTTCATATAAGCCCAGCGGCCATCTTGACATTTTCGTCTGTCAATTTTCCTCTAAAATATGTTATCCACGCATCAATTTCATTACCTCAAGTTTTAATTTTTGGAATTGATGCGTCCAAAAAATCAAAGGGGGCGGGGACATTAAAGAAAATCACTGTATAATATATACATGAGGATACTTTTCCCAGTCCTTGGGCAGTTAAAAAATCGGATTCACAAGAGTTCCTCATAGCAGCCGCGGAGCCCTGGCATTGCGGCTTCTGCCTGCGCGGCTGCTTCAGTATAAGAAAGAGTTTATTCGTTCCAATAAACATAATATTGAAATTTGTGCAACGAACCCATTTTAAGTTGCACCCAAGAACTACATACAGTATTTGAAAACATGTCTTTTTTTTTCAGGGTCCAAGCCTAACACGGATCAGCAAGAAACCTATATGGCCAGCGAGGATATAATAGAATTGCAAGACGTTCGTATGAGCCCCATAGCATCAATAAGGAACCGCAATAACTCTAGCAAAACTGGTAATAATGCTTGTGAAGTAGACTTATCAAAATTCCCTCCTAGCTTTCGCATATCAAGAACTACGGGGTATGCTTACAATTGTAGGATGACACCTGGACTCAGATACAGAGGAAACAAAGGTAATCACAGAATTTTTATAATAAAAGTTGATACGTCATTTTCATTTTCAATTTTTTCATTAATCTAAAAAGCCTTTTAACAAAATTTGCTAAAGACTCACAGCATAACAAATGAAATACTCAAGTCATTACTAATAATTTTATACTCTTCTCTTTTTGAGGTGATCTGGTTACAAAAATAAATAGAATTACGTTTCTTCTTGATAATATGAAATCATATGAAAAGTTATCAGGAAGTTATATGGAATGAAAAATATGAATTTTTTTTGACACACCCTGTATAAGTAATATGTATGTATTTTAGAATAAGTTGTATGTGCCGTATAAGGGCAGAAAGGAATCTTAAAGTTCACAGATCACTAAGTCTTGTAAATGGTGACTCAAGGAATAAAAGTCCTGAAACAAGTTTAAAGACAATTTTTTTTTCTGCAATTCTTGTATGAGGTATTATTTAAGTACCCCTTTCCCTTTCTGGAAAATATGACAAAGCGTGATATTTTTGACATTTAAATCCAAATGAAACAAGATTCCGCTACAAGGATATACACATATGATGAGTTTTAATATATTATTCAAGTTCTGTACCAATTTTCAGATTTATAGAAATTTTTGACAAACTGATTTTTATTTTGACTTGAGTATACATGTGTAGAGTGGGAAATGGTATTTTCTTCCCCTAACCACAAAGCATACTTTTTTTAGCGTGTAAATCTTACAATAATTTCTATTTTCTTTTCAGCAAATTCCATACACAAAACCAAGGTCTTACATGCAATCAAGAAAGGAGCATTGGTCCTGAAGGCCTCTATGCCCAAAATCAAGGACGTTAACATTATTGACAAATACTCTAGGATAGTCTTTCCTGTGGCGTTCTTTTTATTCAACCTAGGTTATTGGCTGTTTTACTTCCTCGAGTGATTATTGTAAATATATGTATAATAATAATGGAAACTCACCGACGCATCGCATCGTTTAGATGTAACATTTGAGCTATATTAATGCTAAAGAAAGCTTCTTGTAGGAGTAAATTGTTGCAGAATGATGAGGATGATCAGTAGATCAGTGTCGCGGAATTATCAACAGATCGTACTTTGACCATTATCGACATATAGTTCATTAATAAGCAATACGTAGATAGTATATACAGGTAATTTGACGATATTAATCCGTCAAGAAAAGTAGTTTTGTGATAAGTTCTTGAAGAAGAAAATTGTTGCAGAGGGTTGCACTTTCACCATTTTTGAGATACATTTTGGTTAAAATGGCTATATGCAATCGAATAGTCTATATTGGGCTATATTATCTAATAAAATCGATTCTACTCAGTAATTCTGCAGTTCAGGATCCTGTAGATTGACTAACGTCTGCATTTGTAACTGGTTGTGTGGTCCCGTAGATTATGGATATACGTTTGAATAAGAAAACCAATTGATGTTAAGAGAATCTCATCCAGCAAAAAATAATGCAACACTCATGATCATTATCTACGAATTAAATGGCTATGTATTTAAGTTACACTAAAATTATAATATATGGTAATTTATCCAAGGGGTTGTTTGTTATATTGAGCTCTGATGTGATTCTCCGCACTATGCAAATGCGAAGTTATAAATATCATATGATCGTTTTAGTTGCTTGTTAGTGAGATGCATTATTTAAGTAAGGCTTACAATTCTATTCAGAGGCAAAATCTGCCTGAAATGACTCCTTAAGTTCTTCGTATCCACAGTGTTCTACTAAACGGTGTATCAATTTTGTAATTACAGATGCCCACAAAATGAAAAAGTAGTATGTGCTTGGGGCCCCACTCTTTTTCTCCCATGTACCTTTTTAGTTAAAATTAGGGGTCGGAGGACAAATAAAAGAGTAATTCAGGCATTAAGATCACACATTATGGCATTTATGATGAATGGAGCCTAAATGCCAGGGCACCGCGGCTACGATGAAGAGCTTAAAGGAACGTTAATCTGATTTCAGTATAGCCAAAGGTCAGTATAACAGAGAAATACCTCTTCAGGTAGATTGTTCCACAGTCTCGATAGCCTAGGAACAAAGGGGCGGTCGTTCAGTTCTGGATGTTCATAATTTGACACGGTTAGAATAGGAGGCCGAAGTCAAGCTCATAGCAGAGAGCTCTGAGGAGCAATGAACGTTAGTGTAACAGTAAATGTAAATGTAGTCGGGCGGCAGCACCCCAGACATTTGAGAAGTACTCGAGGCTAGGTCTTATCTGGACTTTGTACAGAGTGAGGATGTTATGCGGACAAAAGTACTTCCTAGCCCTAAACAAATAGCCTATGTTTTTCCACAGTAGTTGCCGCTGTGGACGAAATGTATTCGTGCCAGATCAAGTCCTCGGTGATCTGGACACCGACCAGCCGAAATGAAAGGCTCTTTGATAGAACTCGGTCATCCATAGAACCCGAATGACCGCTAACACGCTATTTCTTATTCAAAGTACGGTACTATGTTTTAGCAGCGTTAAAATGTACCAGACTGTTTCATCGTCAAGCAGTGATAACATTCAGCTTGTCACTCTGAATTCCTGCATGTAGAGTGCTGTCATCAGTAAAGCTGTGGATTGATCGTACACGAAAGGTGTGTCAGTGTCGGAGTTAACACGGATCCCATCTGCGAAGCTTCTGTGAAAGGCCATTACTTTCATATTTGTCTATATCGCCCCAATTTTGACTTCAGATTCGTGTGTAGAGGGAAAAAAATAGATCGAAAAATATAGTGCGACACCCAGAAGACACCATTTTTGATTTTTTGTGGACCTGTGTATCGTTTTCTCTAAAATTTGTCTACCATCCCACAATTTTGACAGATTAGTATTTAGGACGAAAAAGTACATGGGAAAAACATTGTCGGACCACAAGCACATACACTTTTTTATTTTGTGGGCCTGTGTTTTCATTGTAAATACATTTATAGTGATAATATAGGATTTTGGCGATCACAGATATTACGCACATAAACGTTAACGTGAACCTTAATTGATATTTAAGTCGATGACTCACGGGTGATAAAAAATAATATTAACGTAACCGTTTACGTATGCATCTTTTGCCATTGCCAAAGCCCTTTAATATCCAATTGTTGTTATTAACGTTATAAATTTTATTTGAAATATTAGAATATTCATCATTTCTCCAGTTCTCTATTAACGCAATATCAATTTGGTAACATTATTGAAATGTTTATATTTGTTGGTCAGTAGAAATATAATGAAGGGACATGATTTATTTTTGTCGTTTATCATTTCAAAAAATATTAGCATTCATCTGAAAGGTGATTAGTCAAGTTCATCATAAAATACTATCCATTTTACAGATACTTTTCCTAGAACTCTGAAAGTAATTGTCTTCTAACATGATATAATATTTACGTATGTATAAATGTATTTATAAATTCAAGTGTTTCCAGTCTTTCCATATTTACAGGGTATTTGAAAAGTTTCGACCAATTTTATTTTAAAATAATGTGAATGTAGACCCTGTATCACTAAGCATAGGATTTTAGTTCACAAATGCTCACACGAAAGCCAAATGTTATTAAAAGCAATGTACAAAAATATTATATGTGTTTGTTTAATAAAAAAAGTTAGCTAGTGCGTTTGACTTAGATTCTCCAGCTCAAGCACCTTTACCCTCTTCCAGTAGCCATAGTTATTCATAATAATTATGACAGAAGTAACCGCAATACACAGGATGTTCCGGAATAAAATGACAGTTTCTCGAATGCATAAAGTACGTAATAAACAATGCCACAAGATCTTATAGAAAATGTCCTACGAGGCTTCCCTACGGATCTACACGCCCTAAAGGACGGCACTAGAAATTGTCTTTTTTAAATATTTTTTGAAAGACATTGCACAAATCAATAGTCTAGAAGCAGCCACTAAGGTTACGTGAACATATATATGTCGTCAGTCTGAATGCAGAGCATTCATAAGTTCTTATCTAAAAGCTCAAGTGATCGAAATCAAGGTCGTTTGTTCGAAATTTGTTTTAGCTCCACCAAGATGGATCATTTTACAATTTTCGCAAATTGCTGATTTTAAAAACCCTACTATATCTCGATAGTTCTTCGATTATTCCAAAAGCATGTCATTATAAAATATATTTGCCTTTCAAATATGATTGAATCGATCTTTGAAAAACAAAAATATATCAACTTGTTACGAAGATATGTTGAATAAACATTCTACAACTTAGGGGCTATTTATAAATAAGGTACGATTTGCATCGCATCACCTCGTTTTTTGAATATTCTTGAACGAGCTTGATAATGTCCCGCATTCAAACTTTAGGACACACATATAGACACAATTTTGATTGCAAGCAATGCATAGAGATTGTCAGGAACGCAATATCATTTTTTATGGACGAAGATGATATTTTTGGAAATCGTAACCCATTGGTTTAAAAAACGTAATCTTGTTTGATTTGAATAAAATGAGATGTATTTGAGAAGCGCATTCTAGTTTCAAGTACTTTCCCTATTGATTAACGTTGCAGCCGATACTCAGGAACAACAAGTAGGTTTAGGTTAGTTAGGTTTTTAGAAAATGGAAAACCTAGAAGTAGGTGTGTAGAGAGATGAGATATAGAAAAAAGAACACCCAGCAATAATGAGTTCTTTATAACAATTTTTTGTATACATGTCTCTTAGGGTTAGGTAACTTATTGATCAAACTTCCAGAAAAATCGAACCATTGAAAAAATGTAAAAATTAATAATTTCTTGGACCTCTGCGATGTCTTGAGGTACATTCAGTGGGTACAAGATTGGAAGATCTATGAGCCAAGGCAACAGATCTTCTTGATTGTCCTCTAAATGGATCAACGAAGGCTATATGTGCTCGCGCATTATCTTCCTGGACATAACGCACAACGGATATATGTTGCCTCTGATGAACATCAAAGGTGACATGCTTGTATAACCAATAGCCAGGACAATGGTATTCCATTCGAGGTTGAGTTCAGCCGTTCTCTGCACCAAGCCAGCCGATTACTTCGGTGCCTAGAAGGGCAAACTAAGTACGGTATGAATTAAGTCAAAATTATTGGTCCGCAATTGACATTGGACGAGAAGCGGTCTCGTAGAGCCAAAAGCCGCGATCTTGGTGAACGGCTGTTCTTCTGGCACGCCCTGTACCTCTAACTGTTCTTGTACAGTCCGACAACAAGCTACCTCCGTATTTAGTGGCTATTTCTCTAAAGGACCAACCAGCCTCACACAAGCCCACTATTCGTCCCCTATCATACTGGCTAATCTGTTGACAATTTATTCGTCTTCTTACTCTACGGACGATGAACAGATTAAAGCAGCTCTTCACAACGTATTGTGCGGTGATCAACCGAAAATTGTAGCTACAAAAATTATTGCTTGCTTACTTCTTTTGTAAGAACAGACGATATCACAAAAACCACTTTATCGGTATGGTTGAAAAGCTGATCCTTTGTTGTCCTAACTTAAACAAACATATACCTAGAAAATAAAATCATTATTAATAGGTGTTCTTTTTTTTATATCACTTAGTAGCCGTCGGAAATCCTGACTAGCTATCAAAAATGCTTATCCTCGAAAGTTGTCTTAGACCTTAAATAAACCAATTAATCTCAAATTACTTTAAAAAATGAATTATGGATTTATATGGATTTTCGTATAGTAGTTCCATCTGAGAGAGCATAAAGGAGACATCACTCGTCTTTTTTTTCAATTAGTGCTCAGCAAATATTAAGATTCCTCGCTGGAGTTTTGTCGTGTATTTTTCAAAATGTTGATTGTGTTGTGTATGGACATGTCTTACTCTGTGAGTATATACTTTTACTTTGTAAGACACTGAGCGAGGAAGTATTGTAATCGCAGAAGTTCGAAAATAACATATGTCTTTTGGATATTATATGACATGTACATGACGAAAAACCGTGTCACCAATTTTCTGTCGGTTTATCTGCCTGTATGTCTGCCCGCTAATCATTGTCCATCTATAACTTGGAAAGTACCGGTCAGATTTCGATGGAATTTTCACACATGGTCACAATGCCAAGCATGACAAGGTTTATGAACATCGGTACTGTGGCGGGGAAGAACTAAAACCACGGAATAAATACGAGTCACTCAAAATTTGTTTTCTTGTATCAGAGGCTCCTGGCCCCTATGTTCAAAAAAATTTCTTGTACGGGTTAAAATTGGGGGTTATAAGAGGTGGGGCAGAGTATATCTCAAAGTTTTTATGTTAGTATGTATATTTATACGCTCCCAACCCCAGTAATTCTACGAACCCATGAGACATATTTCTTACACGCATTTGCCTTCAAATGATAAAGACCCGTCGTGCGGTCAGGTATGGGCAACGTTGGCAGATAGACAGTACTAAAGGTAGGGCAGGGAAAGGATGTCTATCGACTGATTGTATGGGTCTGTTCAACTGATTTGATCCGTTTAATTTCTCGGTTGTACATGGTCGTAACTAACTGTTTTCTCAGAGGGTTTAACTTATGCTGAAGTTAACACTTTATGAGATGATGATCTTGATGCGTGTGAAGTGCCGAGGCAACTTACTTGACGCCATTTTTTTCATGATGTCCATATTTACAATATTCAGAATCACTTGCTGAAAAGCACAATTGCCTGACACAACAGTAAATCGCGAATGACTTCAATGTGTGCTATGTGCGTAGATAGGAACTCTCTCTGTTTTTTTATCACCGCCAAATAGAGAGAAATGTTAGATCGATTTCAGGTTGCTAACCTCTTCTGTCAGGATTTGTTTTCCCTTAGAAGATTTATTGCTGAAATTCCAGTGTAGCTGAAAATCTTCTGAATTGTTTTTGTTCCCTCTAATCTGTTGGTCTAACAGCGTATACAACGATTGAGTATGGACATTGATATTACTTTCAAACAACTTTCATTATCACAGCAAGTCTTCCCATTTTTCAAAACACTTTTACATGGAAAAATACAATATATATATATATATATATATATGAGCCCCTTCCCACACTTCAGTTGGCCCAACTATTGAAATCTTATTTTTTTTCTTATCAAACACAAATAATAAAAATGTAGCAGGGTGTTATAGGTTTAAAATATTAACAATGAATATTTTGGTAATATATAGTAGAAGACAACTTTATCACTCCCTAATCAAATTTGCAGCATAAAAATTACACATGTTGCAATTACAGCATATCAACCTATTTCCATTTCAATGCAAAATAAGTCTAGAACGCATAGGTGGCTGTGAAAAATAAAAGCCATGATAACTGTTTTTATTAATCACAGCTGTCAGAATACATTTAAAATAGTTTTGGGTAGTTAAGGTTTTCAAAAGGTAGAGGAAAGGTTATTAGTGAGAAAATTCGGTTACTGATAATTAAATTTTTTAATTCTGGGAAATCAAACTCAGAAATTGCAACTTTGTTAGACTTATCCCGGTACAGTGTGAGAAATATTGTTAAAAGATATAACGTAACTGGTTCAATTAATATTAAGCCACGATATGTGAAAGCGAAGAGCATTAAGAAGAATAATCGGGAAAAACAGGCGTGCCAATTATTTACAATTAAGTGCTCTGTGGAGTGACGCTGTTCGAAAGAGAATTTCGAGGTCTAGAACTCATAGAGAGGCCCACAAACTGGGATTTAGCACATGCAAGGTAAGTTTTCTTATAGAAAAACCCTAAAGTTGCACAACTTGTTTATAGGCCAAAAAAAAGCCACTATTAACTCCACTGCAAAATAACATAGACAACGGACACCTCAACAATGGTGTGCAATACAATGGAGTGATGAGGCCCGATTCGAAGTTTGTGTTGGTGACAGTCGCAGTAGAGTTATTCGCAAAAAAAATGAAATATTCCATGTTGACTGTCTGAAGAGATAAAGTAACTTCCAGCATCCATTATGGTCTGGGGCAGTATATCATCAAAGGGAGTAGGAAAACTTCATTTTATTGATGGAAATATGGATACAAACAAATACTTGGCAATTTTAGAAGAATCGCTTTTACCAGTGATGGAAGAATGTTTGACATCCGGCCAAGATTTTGTGTTTCAGCAAGATGGTGCAGCGTGCCATACCTCATAAAAGGCTATAAATTGGATGGAAGAAAATAATGTACCACTTCTGAAATAAGTTTATAGCAGTCTAGATCTGTCACCTATTGAAACTTTGTGGCACGAGATGAAAAAGGTTCTACGACAACATCCTGCTCGTACAATCACCGAACTGAGACAAAAGCTTCAAGAAATATGGGATTGTTTCACACCAAATTTTTGCCAAAACTTGCCCTAAAGAATTTCAGCCGTAATAAAAAATAAAGGTGATGTTACCCAATGGTAATCTTTCAATTGTTGCTTTGTTAACTTCGCGGATTTATTCGCACATTATTTATTTGTTCAGATGTTCTATTAGTTATAGGTCTAGGTGATTTCAAATATGTATTTTTTACGACTAGAGTGTATCTAAAATGTTTTTGAGAAAATACATTGTTTTAGAAGTAAATAGTTTCGTCATGTTTAGTTTATAAAGGCATATTTTGGTACAAATCCTGAAGTGGGCCAACTGAAGTGGGAAGGGGCTCGTATATATATATATATTGATCTATGAGACTTTAGTCTTTACCCTCAAAAGTGATTTTAAAAATGAAAAACAAAGACGCTTTTTGCGTTTTCAAACTTCAATAGATAGTGAATAGATTGTTATTGTTCCACTATGACAAACACTGTGATGGATAAAGGGGCTGGCAGACCGATAGGCTCACGAAATGCCTATTTTTTTCTTGGTATTCAAAAAATGAATTGACTGTTTCATGATGTCTTAAAAACAGTTGAATTCAGTTCAGATCAGATGCGATCAGGTTTCAAAAATCCAGCAAAGTCACAGAACATGATCATAACATTATCCAAAAAACTGATCAACAGTGCCTATGTCACTCTTCCATCTATTAACAGAATTGTCGATATACCCGTTTCTGTTTTCAAAGCTATGTGATGTGCTCAGCGCTTGTATGTATTTACCTATGTATAACAGTTATACATAAATTACATCTCCTTTGACCTTTGTAAGGTCTATATTTAAAATAGTCTCTCTCAATATCACACAGCTGTGGCTATTACGTAACGTCGTATACGGCGGCAAAAAATTCACCCCGACTACAATATTTCTGATTTTCGTGTAGGTGTTGGAAGCAGAGGGCGAATGCGCACCCTTAACACAGGTCCGGCATCGCGCTCCGGGGGATCTCAACAGTGGGATGGAAAATTTCCTACTCAGATTATACCTTCTTGCGCCATACCTCAAGGGCCTACCCTTGGCACCTTGCTTTTCAAATTTTTTTTGATGACGTCGTTAGGGGGTACACAGTAGCTGTCTTCTCTATGCATATGACTTGAAAATTTGAATAAATGATGTCACCGTCACAATCCACCGTATCCTTAATATTGATAAATGCTACATTATTGTTATAAGACGCAAACGTCAATCAGATTCATATATAGCACTGATATTCAAACTCACATTTGTTGTTAGCAAAGCTTATAAAAGTTTTGCCTTCATCAAAATAAGTCAGCACAAAGCGCCACTTTTTGGAAACTGTAAAGGCCTTAATTCGCAGTAAATAGTCCAATCAGCATGTGACCATTACATGGCAGTTCCAAAAAATAGCAGTTATGAGCTCTCTGTATTGGCCGATTCTGGTGATAGATGCGCTGCCTTATTTCGATAGACCGTACCTCCGGGATAGAGAATAGTTGCGATGTTTTTGTTAGACGAGAGACCAAGCCTAGACCATGCTGATGAGTAAGAAGCAGCCAACAGCAGTCCATGGTTGGTTGTCTTTTGACCGGACGGACGAAAGCATCATGTTTAGTTTGTGTCTCGTAATCAGTAATTGTAGAGATTTTATTAGTGCGAATACCATGATCTTGTTGTATAACTCATTTGTTTGATCCAAAATGGAATAATATGCTATAATCCGGTATTCCGTCTAAGGAGTTCATTCTAATAAAATGGAAGATATTCACATGCGGTACAAGGAAGATGGTACGTATCCAGAAGTTGGCTTCGGGCATGATGTATTACTTAGCAGATATAACCTCTGTAATTTGGAAAAGCGCAGAAACTATTCGGCTTGTATATAAACTTTTTATATAAACTACTTAATAATGCGACATATTGTAAATATTTACTCAGTAAGATCTTTATTCATGTACCTTATGCTAAAGCGAGATCGAATTTAAAATACTTTCACTTAAACGTAGCTAGAACCAATGCGGTGCATTCTTCCCTAGTCTCTCGGTCTGTCTGTCTGTCCACTAATCCTTGGACCACCTACAACTTGGAAAGTGCTGCTCTGGTTGAACGACATTTCCACACAAGGTTACTACAATGTCAAGAACGGAAAAGATTTGTAGATTTTTAAAATCGGTCCAATGGCGGCAGAGAAAAAGGACAAGATATGAAGTTGTAAGATGTGGGGGGTATATCTCATTTTTTTATATTAAGACACTTTTAGCTCCGGTAATTCTACAGACCTATTGGAGATATTCTACACCTCATAAATTTGCCCATTCATTTGCCTTTAAAACTTATATATTCAGCAAACGGATCGCCTATCAGTCGAACATACCATGCGCCCCGGGGTTATTTGTGTGGATAATGTATGTTTGGCATTCGATCCGAGTGACGCGATATTATATATATATATATATATATACAGGGTGACTTCGAAGTTGAGTCATTTATTTTAACAGTGAGCAGATCTGATCAAAAGAAATGTTTTTTTTCCTTTAACATTTTTGTGGTAAAATTAAAGTAACAAAGTTATAGCCCTTTAGAAGTTTGAGTACCGCCTTGTCTCAATAATAATATTATGTGCTCGTGTTTGGCAACAACGGATATAATCCGCCTTATCGGTTCATCGCATCGGAAACAAAAAAGCGAAAGAATTTGAAACGCTGATCACGATGTTTTTATTCAGTCAATGTGTCAGTCGGTAACGCGTGAGTGAATAGTGGTGTTTGCTGCGTGGCTCAAACGAAATAAAAAATGGAACATATTTATGCGGATCGGTTTCCCAATCGAGTGCAACCAACCCCTCGTACCTTTGTTAATTAACGGGCTCGTGAATCAGGTGACTTAAGACCTCACAGGGGAGAGCATGCCGGTGCTCCAAGACCTCACGATCAAATACAGGTCCGCACTGAAATACTTGTCGGGAGTATACTTTATAAAACAAGGTAAACGTTTTTTTTTATTTTTTTTTTATTGTTACACACATATTTTGGTTTATCTTCCTTCTACAATCATTATCTGAAAATTAATGACTCAACTTCAAAGTCACCCTGTATATATGAGTATTATGCTTGGAGTGTAATTCAATGGAGTTATTTGATCTTGTGACGTAATATTATACATGGTGTTTCAAATTCGATCCTCATCAATGGGATCACGGAACCTGTAAGAGAAACGAAGTTGCTAATGAGTGGGCAAAGTTGCGTATTTAGGTAATCAACAAAATGCTGCTTAGAAAGTTTCGAAATTCAAAATACCTCCGGAGAGAGACGGAAAAACCCAATTTTACCGAAATAGTCTTAATTTTTCCCGGACCTTCTAGCGGGATTTCAAAATAAATTGCACATTCACATTGACACTTTTTCTCCTCTATGAGAAAGCATAACTAGTATTTCAACATGACGTTTCATCTCTTGTCCTTCAGCATTAACTTTATAAATGCCATATTGGATTTTATAGAGTTCTTAATCATGATTCCAATACGTTATACATTGACATTGTCAAGGTTATTTCAAAAAGCAAATATTCCTATGTAGCGTTTGGAATTATCAGTAATTTATTTCGCACAGCAAAATCACTTTTATTTTTTTTTAAATTGAAACTATTTTGGGAAAATTCGTATGTTTCCGTCTCTCTCTTTTACAAGCGAGATTTTGTTGATTACTTAAGGAAATGCTTTTTCATGAAAAGCCCAAATAGTGCATTATTGGTTCTTTTTAAAGTCATTGCACTACATGGAAAATTGTACCAGAAGTTAGAGTATAGAGTCAATCTACTTATCCTCATTTTTACTTGCCACGCCTACTGGTAAGGAATTATTGTAATCGCGACAAAAATATGTTTTTCGATGTTATGTGACAAGTACTCTTCGAAAAACCATGTCACTCTTTTGAGCCGCCCTCGGTCTGTTTGTATGTTGGTCTGCCGCAAATCGTTGACCCGTCTATAACTTGGGAAGCACTGCTCAGTTTTGGATAACATTCTAACTCAGGGTTACTACTATGCCAAGGACGGAAAACCTTTGTAGATTTTGAAAATCTGTTCAGTGGCAGCAGATCTACGGGTAAACATATAAAAAAAAAATTGAAAATAGCCCAAACTTCGTTTTTCGAGGTTGCATAAATCTCTGATCATTATCGAAAAAAAATTTGAAGGGGTTGCAAATTGGGGGTTAGGGATATTGAGTGGGTAGAAACTAGAATCTAAATCCACCCCTGCATAGATCTCTAAAGAGAGATAGCAACACTCCGTCGAACGTAGGAGGCAATTTCATCTCAGTTCGAAGCGACTACCCCCGCCCGTGTGCCAGTACTCCGTGTGTTACACGCCAATTTGTGAGCAAAAACACCCCAAGCTCATCACACCCTCCAAGCCGTTCATAAAAGACACCCCCAAAGCAATTTTCACAACTTTCGGGTTCAGTTGTTCGTCCGTTGCCTCGATTGCGTCGCAATATTTTGACAGCGTGGCCCTTCCCGTGACAATGCCCGGGTATAAGAGAAGAGTCTGAAGGGTTCGGAGCCCCCGGGGCTCCACTTTCATGCCATCAACAGCTGGGACATGGTGAATATCCAACGAGGTAGCTCGTCCCTTGGGGGTATCAGATTGTTGTTGCTGGCCTATGGAATCAGTCTAGTGTGCGGTGAGTTTGCATATGTCTTCCGTATCATAGGTCAGGTACTCTGCCCAACTTGTCGCACAGCTTCCTGATTGTTGAAGGTGTAGTGATATACTCTCTACGATGTTGGAAATCGAAAAAAAATAAAACTTAGTCATGATAATCATATATAAGTGATAGTCATGGTCCCACATTGTAGTAGTCTTACTTCAAAAATCGGAAATCGGTCCTTAAGCAATGCAAAACTTTATTTTTTGTGAAAGGTATTGCATCAAATATCAACGTTAAAAATATATCACTTCACGGTCATCCCATCTTTTAGTCAAAAGCCTAAAAGCAAAAGCTACTTCAATGATTTTTATGTTTGTATATCATGAGTAGATCGGAGACTCAGTTATAGAAGGTTTTGTTCACAATGACGTGAATAAAGCGAATAACATAATATGCATTTAAAACTGAACTGAAAGCTAAACTCGTCGATAGAACTGGTGTTGGTGTTGCCCTATGGAATGGAAAGGGGTCCCATTAGTCACGAAATATCCATGTTAACGGATGGAAATTCTGCAATTTTGGGCAATCGTATAAGATGCCGAGCTGTTGGTCTTCTTCTTGTTATATGTTGTAAACAGAATCACGCATTTAAAGGTTTCCATTATTAAGGTTAAGAAATACATATCATGACTAAATTAATAGAAAAAACGCGGCAATTACCGATTTACATCCATACAAGTAGGGCACAATTTAGTTTAGACGATCCATTTTCGAGATTCTAGACATTGGTGGTTGAGGATGTACCATACAAGAACTAGACTTCTAGAGCTGCAGACGTTGTTATATGTAACATCTGATTAATTTTCGTTCGTTTACATATTATACATTGCATATCTTCCATCGAATGCATGGTACTTCTTTTAAAAAGTGGTGAAAGTGCACACACTTTGCTATTCGATTTAGTTCAGTCCATCATATTAGATATCACATCAATACGTACTATATATTACTGAATCCATGTAAATCTATTATTTCAACGATTAGCTAAGTTCCCTTTCAGATTGTTCTTAGATGCGCACTTAAATTCCAATGTAGCTACTAATGAAAAGTTGAGAAGAGAAATCAGCTAACTGCTAAACCTCTAAAAATTGCAAACAACATGAATCAGGCGGTGTTCTCAAGTCTGGCATTCGAGATTTGAACATGGAAATGTCGAACGATTCAGGGTATTGGTGTATTTGAACTGCTTTGGGTATCGGTGTGACATATTGCCGATATATAAAACTGGGACGTTTGTCACTGTGCTGTCACTTTTGTCAGCTAATTCTGATTTTGTAAAAAATGTGATTAAATAGTATGGAATGGAGATAATTTGTTAATATTTTAGTATTGTTTGACAAATCCAATGTGAGCTGTGAGATGCTTCGAAAATATAGTAAGAGCAAGACGGTTGTTATCTGAGACACGACTAGGTTTTTTATTGTTGGTGGTTTGAAATTGAGTCCCCCATTCCTTATTTAGACATGTGGTATCTTTAAAATATAAGCTAACTTTGCCTAGTAGTTGCTGTTAGACAAAAATATTCGTTTTAGCAATACTATTATTGTTTGTCCACGTATTGGAAATAATGTTGGAAAACAGTATTTTCAAGTATATTTGTTTTCTATTATTCTCAATGAATGTTTTTCTGTTTTACAGTTAATAGTAATAATAATAATAATCAACGTCTTTTATCCTGCTACTTAACCCTTGAAAATAAAAAAAATAACGATTATGAATATGTAAAAGTAATATACCTAAGTATGCTAATAGTATATAGTCAAACTGTGCAGGTGGGTACTTTTATAAAATAAATTGAATAATTTGTTTTCCGAAGTCATTGTTATTTAGTCATTTTAATGCCTGAAGTACAATAAAAAGTGCTATCACGTTGTATGTGAAGCACTTATGAAATTATAAGGTTTTGTGAAGAGGCATTGTGCGTGTCTCGGTAAACCGTACGTCTATTGAGTGAATAAAATTTCGAGGGAACAGCTTGTTCTTTAAAAACGAGGAAATCGAAGTAAGCAAGAGCATATGAGTACAATTTAATAAGTGTAGCTCATGTAGCTCTCTCATCTTCAACCATCCCAAGTCTCTTAAAGAACCGCTTATACGGTCATATTTTCTTAAATTATTTATTAGTCTGCAACATGAATTTAAAATTTATGGTAATCTCATGATTTTTACTTCTCGACCTTCACGGGAGGCTCATGCTAGGCGTGGCCAAACTCTCTGTCCACTAGACTAATCACACGTTTACAAAATATAATCATTTTATAATGGCCCAAGTTTCATATGGGCATATATAATCTTATATGCGGTATATTGAATTTCCAGTTTGGCTAGCACTAGGAAGATCCTTTGGATGGGCCACCCCTCAACGCAATTATTCTGAACAAAATATTGCGACTGATCTGTATAAACAAATACATTTTGTGTCCATTGCATGAAGGCGAATGAAGCATGAGCATGAAGCGTAATAATAAGTAAATTTGCTCCGCTCTTTTTCTGAATTGTTCTAAACTGGAATAGATGTGGATACGAGACAACATATTAATATTTTTGAAACCATGGCATAAAAGCTGTCTAAGAACTTTCAACAACATATGAGCACATTACAAAAATTCCAAATTCTTTGAACAATTCAAATGAAGGAAAAAAAGATCTTGAACTCATCATTAATCGTCGCATGCTCGTGGCTTGGCGAGATTTTGAAGCATGAAGAAGTATTTCATGAGTTTCGTGCGATATTTTAGGTATCTCGAAGGCAACATTCCAAATCAACATGCGAGAACAACTTCCCCTGACAGACATATAAAACTCATGTTTGGGGGACTATTGCAATATTTGGCAACTTGACGCTGCTTAAAAAAAATCAATCTGATTTAATGACTTAAAGCTATTTCTCATCGACGAGTGTTTCAATCAGAATTGAATTTATTTCCCTGAATTTTATCTGAACTTCATTATAATGGTTCTGTCTGCTAGTTACAGTACTTGTCATACTTGCAACTCACGCATTTTCTATAGATCATCCAGTTACTTTAATCTCCTTTTCAGGCATGCTTTCGTTTAGCAAATCTCATCAAAATAAATCACATTATGTGTGAGGTGTCGAGGTGTCTTACTTCGTATTTTGTAAGTTGGTGAATGTGCACGCAATTTGTATATTGATAACATGACTCTGAAAATTTGGCGAGTCTAACGTGTAAAGCCACATGTGATTTTCGCAAAAATGAAACACACAGTTTTTTAGTACAATTGCGCACATACGCGACTAAATAATCGCCGCGGCTAAAAAGATGCAACCAGTTCTATTCGGGAAGCGACGCGCAAATCAAGATAAGTCACATGGACACGAATTAACGCACCAGCGACGAATTGTCCACCAGGGATGACCATCCAGATAGTGTCTTGAACACAGAAAGAATAATTACTGAGGTGAAAAAAAGACCTGCTCTTTACAACAAGCAACTGAAAGAGTATAGTGGCCGGAATTTGAAGCAAAAACTGTGGGGCCAAGTTTGTATGAATGTAATACGCAAATGGATGGAATTATCTGCATCTGGAAAATAAAAGAAATGTAATTCCATGCTGTTTATTTTCTTTATTATTCTCAGGTGTTTTAAAACGGTACAATTCAAATTTTATCTTATTACCATGGTCTTGGCCCTTCTGGGGATGCAAAATAATCTCGAATTTTAAGACCACACATGCCGGAAGAATGTTGAAAGCGGCCATCCTCGGTTGCGATTTGCGAACCAACTATGTAGTTGCTTACCTCACGGTGTGAGGAGTGGCTGGTTGTTAATGGATCAGCAGCTTGGCGTGTCAGAGCCCTTAGCCCGTGTTCCAGTCGGATGACAGCTTTGAATGGGAGACTCGTATAATTCATCCTCAACTCGTATACTATCCGTTTTGCCTTTTACGTCATGTTTTGGCTTTATTTCTTAATATCAACGCAACTACATAAACGGTTTGAGTAAAATCCATAATGGTACTAAATGTAGTTACGACTAATTCATCGCAACTGCGAGCCCTAAGAATTGTAAGAACATTTTTCTGCGATCACGATTTTTCAGCCGTGCTACTGAAAATCTCAAGTGCGCGTCTGGCATTGAGAATAAAAAAAAATAAAACATGTATAGCTTAAGGGTTCTTCGTCGCTACATCAATGTTTGCACGTGCATCACAGTGATAATGCCAATAAACATATTATGGTGAGATACTTTCAAACATCCAACATTGAAAGCACATGTACCTTATCTATTAGCAAACTGTTCTACTGAATATTTCCTAACACTATCCACTATGTTGGTTAGATACTTACTAGAGGAGACAATTTCAAAGTTCACATTCACCAATTTGAACTAAGTTCAATTAACAGCAGTTCCTTGTTCTCCATTTAGAAAGCTGCATTTCTACAGTTTTTACGCAATGGAAAAAATATTCTCTATTTTGAAAGCTACATGTCTACAATTTTAATAAAAAGTAGAAGAACCGTTATAATATTCAAAATGAGTCTGTTTCCAAAACTCACATTTACTTAGCGGCTTCACAGGCCTGGTGGAACAATTCATATTGTACTCGTACACACATTCTACAAAAGAACATCTTCAGTTACATTACTTTTATTGGAGATTTTCATGTTTGAATATATTTAAGATAATTGTTGCACCTAAAATATGTTGTTTTTAGAAAGTACCGGAGTATTTTTTGGTTTCTATATTTAGAAAAGCCGACAATGTAAATTTTACAGTTAGATTCCTTTTATATATACTCGTACTACCTAACATTCTCTTACGTTTAACTTGTGCAGTGTCACCAGGACAAAAATATATGCTTTTGTTTGTTATAATAATTCCGAATCTTTTTCACAGCATATTATAATAGAATAGTGCTTTTATCGGGGTTTCCTTATAGTGAGTGCCATAAACGTTGCGCAAATCTTTTAGTTGACTATCAAATGTATGTATGTATCTCTCCTGATT